ACATGCGCCTTTTGGCCAGAAATGGTGGAAGTGGCTCCTGTTGACTGGTATCAACCTGAGCTGCGTCATCTCCATCAAATACGTTGGTGTCTTTACTTTCTTCTCGATTGGTGTCCCGGTCTTGATTGATCTTTGGGACTTGATGGACGTCAACCGACGACAGGGCGCATTGACTCTAGTCGAGTTTGGCAAGCACTTTGTTGCTCGTCTTGTCGGCCTGCTTATTGTCCCCTTCTTCCTCTACCTCTTCTGGTTCCAGGTTCATTTCGCCATCCTTACTCGTTCCGGACCTGGTGACGACTTTATGACTCCAGAGTTCCAGGAAACCTTGAGCGACAACGCCATGAGCCTTCAGTCTGTTAGCATCAATTACTACGATGCCATCACCATCCGCCACAAGGAGACCAAGGTCTACCTTCACAGCCACCCGGACCGCTACCCACTCCGATACGAGGATGGACGTGTCTCTTCTCAAGGACAGCAAGTAACCGGCTACCCCCACAATGATACCAACAACCATTGGCAGGTCCTTCCTTCGACTCCTCTTCCAGCCGAGGTCGGTCAGCGCGTTCAGGTAGGCGACGTAGTTCGTCTTCGCCATTTGGTCACCAACACTATTCTCTTGACTCACGATGTCGCATCACCTTACTACCCCACTAACCAGGAATTCACGACTGTGAGCCTAGAGGATGCCGCCGGCGCGCGTTACAATGACACGCTTTTCCAGATCAAGGTTGACAAGGGCAAGAGTGACTTTAAGACCATGTCTACCCACTTCAAGCTGATCCACGTACCCACCAAGGTCGCCATGTGGACCCACACCAAGCCTTTGCCAGACTGGGCCTACAAACAGGCAGAGATTAACGGAAACAAGGCCGTACAGCAATCCAGCAACATTTGGTATGTCGATGACATTCCTTCGCTCCCAGCTGAAGACGAGCGCAACAAGAAGGAGCCCAAGAAGGTCAAGCACTTGAGCTTCCTGAGAAAGTGGGTCGAGGTTCAACGCGCCATGTTCCATCACAACAACGCCTTGACGAGCTCCCATCCCTATGCGTCGCAACCTATTTCCTGGCCTTTCCTTCTGCGTGGTGTGTCTTTCTGGACCAAGAACGACACCCGCCAGCAGATTTACTTCCTGGGTAATCCTATTGGATGGTGGCTTGCCTCTTCGCTTTTGGCCGTCTTTGTCGGTATCATTGGCGCAGACCAACTGGCTCTCCGCCGTGGTATGGACGCTCTCGATGACCGTAAGTTGTTTCTCTCATATAAACAGCCCAAAATCCTTCACTTGATAAAGTCATTTGTTTTCGACGGGGATGTTCTAACATTCTTACCTGTAGGCACCCGCTCTCGTCTATACAACTCGACCGGTTTCTTCTTCCTTACTTGGGCCGCTCACTACATTCCCTTTTACATCATGGGACGCCAGCTTTTCCTTCATCACTACCTCCCCGCGCACTTGGCTTCTTGCCTCGTCACTGGCGCGCTTGTCGAGTTTGTCTTCTGCATCGAACCCCAGGATCCTGAAGTATCTACTGCCGCCAAGGGTCATCGCCGAACTCCCTCCCGCCCCGTGCGTGAGCGTGTGGCATCCTCGAGCCTCATTGGCAGCTGGATTGCAACGGGTGTCATTCTCGCAGCTGTCTTCTGGTGCTTCCTCTTCTTTGCGCCCCTCACATACGGTAACCCGGGTCTCGACGTTGCTCAGGTCAACGCGAGAAAGTGGCTCGGATACGACCTTCACTTTGCTAAATAAAATCTTCTTGACGATTTAGACATGTGAAGGGAGGGGTTTTTCTCGAGGTTTGGGGGACACAAGACTTCTTTTCTTTTCCTTTTTTTCTTTTGTTTATCTAAGAGATTTCGTTGCAACACCATAGGGCAAAAAAAAACGGTGCAACAGCGTGGATGGGGGAGTGCTGGGTGTGTAGGGGTGCAGTTCAGGTCTCATGTATTCTATCATCACTTTTTGTCTATGTCCTTTGTTGTGGGGCTGTGAAGGGGGAAGGAGCGGCCTTCGAGAAGGAACTGCCATAGAAACACGCAAAACGCCTTTTTGTTCTTCTAGTGTCTGAGCGTATAGAGTTGCATGGTGAGAAGAATATATTCGCAATCTCCACAACCAATATGGAAGCAATCTCATTTGCAACGTTCGCCTGACTCGAGCTTCTTGCATCAAATGTGTGTGCATGTCTTCTTGTGATTAAAGCTTGATTTTCATCTATATGCAAAATCTCTTAGAAGCTCATTCAAGGAACCCCAATCCTCGCCCGTTTGGTCTGTTTGGTTGAAGAACTCGGCATAGCAGGGACTGCCGTGATCGTCGAGTTCGCCCCAAGGCGCCGGGATGGATTCCCTGAATTCGGGTTGCACCATCGACTCGCTGTCGTCTCGCCCAGATGCATTTCCTTCGTTTACCTGAGCACTAGTAGTGGTGGTAATGCTGTCCGTACTAGTATTCTCTGCTTCAAAATTCAAATTCGCCACGAAAACGCTCGACATCCATGCCGGGGCCCACGATGTCTGACAAGTCTCTTCGTCCCATTTGACCAAAGACTCTCCGGAGGGTATCGTACAGGTTTGTGCTTTGGTTCTGATGAATCATGTTGTCTAGTTGACTCTCTGATACGCCGTCGCCGACAACTTCCCTCGCCTTCTCTTTGCCTTCTCGCTCTACGACCTTGTGCATGGCCAGGGCACCGAGCAAGTGTTGTGCTGCCTCGGTGTAGCAGCCAATATTGATGCACGAGACACCAAGGTTATAGCGGGCACGGACGAAGTTTGGACGGAGGGCGAGGGCACGTGAGTAAGCATCGATGGCTTCTTCGCTCCGGCCCGAGTTTGCGAGGGTGGCGCCGAGGCGGTTCCAGAGGAGGTGGACTTGTGATGATGAGTTTGAGACGCCGGATTCGGTGGAGGCAAGGGCGGCGCCGAAACAGTCGACGGCTTTGTCGTATTCTTCTACGCCGTAGAATAACACACCCAAGCCGACTTGTACGTCGGGATCCATTTGCTCACCAGACGGCGATAGTTGTGCGGCTTGAATGTAAAGATTGGTAACCTTCTCGTGGAGTAGATGGCGGTCTGTGAAGCCCATCTCGGCATCCGACGAGAGCGGTTCCTTGATGAGAGAGGGGTACTTGGTTGCTAACCAACGTTCTAATGTCCGATATGCTGTGCTCTCGTAGCCTTCGTTCGTGTAGGATACGGCCAGACCCATGAGAGCTTCCAGGTTTGAAGGGTCTTGCTTCAATGCATGTTCCAACGCACGGATGGCGGGTGTTTCTTTCTCGTTTTGCGCCTGAGCCTCACCCAACCTCACCCAAGCCGCGATGTGGTTTGGATCCTTTTGTACTGCTGCTTCGAATGCGAGGGCGGCCAATGATAAGTTTCCACCTTCTTCCATGATTTTTACACCCTCCTCAAACGGATTTGTGACGTTCTTGAAGAGGTTCTCCTGCTCAAACAGATAGTCGCCCATGGACGGATCGCGGACCGGATGTGTGTTGAGACCATCGAAACCCTCCCACTGATCGAGATCGCCCATGTGTCCTTCGACAAATCTCTCCTCGTTGGCAAGTTGCCTAGCGTATTCAGTCTCAGCTTGGATTCCCTTCCAGACGGATTCGAAATCGTCGAAGTCAACGGCGTCTTTCTCTACTGACCTGTCCATTTCGTTCAGCTCAGCCTCCATAGCCTTGTTGGCTTCCGCGTCGAGCGCGTCCAGGTTCTGTTGGTCGGTCTGTTCCAACTGCGCAAACTGTGCCTCCCAGTCATGGTCGTCGAGCTCAACCATACGTCCTTTGCCCTTTCCTGAGTCCTGTACGGGCTGCTGGAAGTTTTGTGGTGCATATGGCTGTTGCATCATGCCCATGCCCATACCCATACCACCCATGCCCATGCCCATGCCCATGCCGTACATGGGCTGCTGGTACGCCGACATAGAAGGCTGTGATGCGGTTGTAGGGCTCGCGGTCCGGGCGGCAGGGTTCATTTGCTGGAACTTTGCGAATTCGGCAGGGTTGAAGCCCGCTGGTCTCTCTTGCATGGCTGGGCCCATTTGGGGAGCCTGCATGCCCGGATCGAACTCGGCTGCCCATGCTGGCGATCCGCTATGCTGGGCTCGCTCCAATTCTCTACGCATCTGCTCCATGGCAAAGGGTGACGCGGCCCCGGGCCCTTGTGGGAGCTGTACGTTCTGATTCATGAACTCGTTCATCATCTGCCGGCCCTCGGGTTAGTCATGGCACATTTTCTCTACACTACATTGTTTGCATGCGCTGTTGCTGACTTACACCATCGGAAGGACCGCCCATCTGCTGACTTCGCATGCCCTCCTGCATACCACCTGGCCCGCGCCCGACCAGGCGGTCGCGTTGTAGAGACTTGTCATCTTGTACATGCTTGGTGAACTGGCTGAGCGGGTTGGCCCCCGTGGAGCACTCGGCACCGCCGAGGAAGGACATGACTAGATGTGCGATGAGTGGATAATGTCAATGAGCTGGCTACGGTGCGACGAAGAAGGAGTGGTGAACGGAGAGACAAGTAAGGACACTGGAGGTGAGTAAGGCGGAATCCGCGCGTCGAGTAATTGATCAGCAGCAGATGCCGGGCGGAGATGGTACGCGGGGCAAGCCGAGGTCGCAGCCGGTCGCGCTTGCCGAATCCTGGCCCACACTTCGCCGCCACCCTGCATGCATTGGCTTGACGTCGATGCATCGATCAAACTCTTATTAGAAACCATCAAAGACACATAGATTTTCACACTATATGAAGTACAAATGAAGAGAGGAATGGCAATGCCGGAAACTCTCCACTATGAAACAAGCAACTTGTATATCAACATGGGGCATAACTGACCACACACGTGTCCCAGTCTTACATATCGTACAGAGAGGCCCACTCCCTTGCAGTCGTCATTCGTCTATCCTCCAAATGAGAGGAAGCCCCTTCCTGATTTGTTTTACAATCCATCTCGTACCGTCACCTGCTTCTCATCATTCCTGGAACGAATCCTGGCGCTTCCCACCCTCACGCTGTGTATGTGTGTTGGATTTGCTGAAATCGACGCGGAGTTGTCTGCCATAAATGACCTTCTCCTTGAGAACTTCTCTGGCACGGGTGGCGCTGGCCACGTCGATGAAGTCTGCATGAGCAAAGCCTCGCGGTTGGCCGGTTCTCCTGTCAATGGCAACACGTACATCCAAGACGTTGCGAATGTCGCGGAAGAGGTCGTTGAGGTCCTTGTCTGACATCTCAAACGACATGTTGCCGATGAAGAGCGTCCTGGTTGGAGGGCTGGGCTCATTGCCATTAGGGCCGCGCCCCTTTGCCTGATACTTGGGAGTGTGGAACTGAACGACAAGGTTGCGGCCTTCAAACACCTGCATGTCGAGGTTGTCAATAGCAGCCTGCGCATCACTAACGTTCTTGTATTCGACGTAGGCGAAACTAAATAGACGGCGTCAGTCAATATTGGGCCATTTGGGGGTGGAAGAATATTACCCTCTGCTTAGACCCCGGTTATCGTAGACGATCTTGATGCTCTCAATATCGCCAAAGCGAGAGAAGACACGCTTCAGCTGATCTGGCGTAACTTCGTAGTAGAGGTTACCAATGTAAAGCACATTGTGGGGTTCAATATTCTTGTCTGGTCGTTCCCTCCTGGCCCGCGGGCTGGTTTGGCTAGATTTGGTGGCGGCAGCCTCGAGCGCATCTGCGCCGACAGTGGCAGACTTGTCGGTGGGCTCTGCCTGCGCCTCTTGTTGTGCGGGCGTCAAGTTATCCTCAACAGGCGCCTCCGCTGCTGTCTGGGCAAAGTTCTCGGAGGCTTCTGCGGCAGCAGCCTCAGCCGAGTCGGTTTTTGACACCTCATCGCTAGCAAATCTCCGTTGAAAAGAGGCAATTGACCACTGTTGCTGCCTTGGACGGAACACCGAGGGTGTGAGAGTAGTAATGGAGCGCGGCTGTACCAGGTACGCCTTGGAGGGCGAGGCACTGATGGCGCGGACGGCAGCACGGCGGAGGAGAAACCTTCATGGCTGGTAAGTATACATGGCCAATGTGCGGTATGGGTAAGTCTTACATGGTGGCGATTGGACAGAGGCTGGCGATAGTCACTCAAAATTCCAGAGGACGACATGCGGGAAATTTTTGGACATGCATGGTAGTCCCGCGCTAGACGTCGCTCACGTGACGCAGCGTCGATCCTAGCCAGGGCGGGCGACAGACATGGTATGGTCGAATTCCCCCCCGCCGACAACATTGCAAGCCGAGGGTGAGGGGCCTAGCGAATTAGTCCATACGCAGTATTTATGTGCACACGGCCGTGGTAGACCTGTCCGAGTGCGATCGTACCTGCGTGCAGCCTCCATGTCTTTTTGCTCAGTCCTTCTCGCCATGCCGCTAGGAGCAGGCGTGACATGCAGTGGTCATCGAGTCCATATTTGACATAACGGCACGGGGCAAGGCGACTGGTCGGCGGGGTCCGATGCGCGTTGCTTGTGTGTGTGAGTCTTGTTCGCAGTTCTGCATCCACCCCGGCATTCACAACTCCCACCCTTCAATGCCACCATGCTGAAAGGTAGCTCTCGCTGACACTTCCATCTCGCACCCAACCATACTGATGTGTCCTGCAGGAGCATTCTCTGCCGACGCAGATGCGTCACCAGACTTTGGCCCTGCCCACGACGATCATATAATTTCGTCAGAGGAGGACGAGCTCGATCTAGATGACTCGGACACAGAGGCTGGTGGCAGCGGGCGTACAAAAACCAATTATGGTGCGACTTCAGCATCGCAGCGAGGTGCCGGCCCAAGCATTGAAGACGACGATGACGGCATACTCCCCCGCGACAAACAGCGTCGCACTGCCTTCTACGACTACACTGCTGAGAAGCAAATGAGCCATACCGAAGCCAAGCAGTTCTACCAGAGGCACCAGCTCGAGACACAGCACGGCGGCCCCCAAGCAGACATGCACAGCCCCGCCATGCGCGCAAAGACATTCCCCGTCAATTTTGGTGGCACTGACGGTGTCGACTTTCTCAGCAGGGCCGAGAGTACTCGCTCGCGGAAGAGCAATGTCAGCCATGCCAACCATGTCCAACGGCCATACATACCCATCGGCTCGTCACACGCAGAGCAATCGCATGAACCTCGTCGGCACATGACCCAGCAAGTCCCTGACCCCATAGGTGCCCACGACGAGACCGACCATTTTCTCCAGGCTGATCAACAGGCCCGATCGCATGGCCAACACCCTAACCTTCCCCATGAACATAAGCCTCTTCTGGCTGAACAAGGGATCCACGGTGCGGGTGCAGGCATAGGCGTTGGAACAGGGGCAGGAGGATTCGCAATGTCTGATTCCAGCATCACTGCTGAGCTCAGCTCCATCTACGCAAACATTCAAAAAGTGCTCGATCTGCGCCACAAGTACATCCGCTTGTCTTTGCAACGTTCCTTCGACAATCCCAAAGATGACCCAGCTTGGCGCATTTACCCGTCTCCTCCAGAACCTGTCTGGAATGACACCTCCAAAGAGCGTCGCAATGCAGCTAGTAGCATGCAAAACAGCGGTATTCTAGAGCCGAACGAGATGCCTAAGCCACCTCGTAAAATGGGTACCAACATCGGCGAAGATTTCCACTTGGAGGAGTGCCTCCCCGTGCCTGGTCCTGGTGAGATGTCGTTCCGGCTTGACGAGAGTGGCGTGTACCAAGTATATGAGACTGCCAAATCTGCTGAGCTTGATACACCCATCATTGCAATTCCGACGTTGCGCGAATTCTATATTGATCTCGATTCCATTCTGGAGATATCTTCAGACGGACCCAGCAAAAGTTTCGCCTTCCGCCGTCTCCAATACCTCGAAGGAAAGTTCAACCTTTACTATTTGCTCAACGAGTACCAAGAGACGGCCGATACCAAGAAGGTGCCTCACAGAGACTTTTACAATGTACGAAAGGTCGATACACACGTGCACCACTCTGCATGCATGAATCAAAAGCATCTGCTGCGCTTTATCAAGTCGAAGATGAAGAAGTCTCCTGACGAGGTAGTGCTGTACCGTGATGGCAAGCACCTCACGCTAAGGGAAGTATTTGAGTCCATCAACTTGACGGCATACGATCTGAGTATCGACACACTAGATATGCATGTAAGTAACTACTTGACGTTTTTGATACGACGATACTAACCATACAGGCCCATACCGACTCATTCCACCGCTTTGACAAGTTCAACTTGAAGTACAACCCAGTTGGCGAATCACGTTTGAGAACCATCTTCTTGAAGACAGACAACTTTGTCAAAGGCCGCTATTTGGCTGAAATCACCAAAGAAGTCATTTCCGATCTCGAGGCGAGCAAGTACCAGTTCGTAGAATGGCGCATTTCCATCTACGGCCGAGACATTGACGAGTGGGACAAGCTTGCGGCTTGGGTTGTTGACAATAAGCTCTTCTCGCCCAACGTTAGATGGTTGATTCAGGTTCCGCGCTTGTTTGATGTGTACAAGGCTACTGGTCTAATGGATAACTTCCAGCAAGTTATCGTGAATGTATTCCAGCCTCTGTTTGAAGTCACCAAAGACCCTTCAAGCCACCCCAAGCTCCACATCTTCTTGCAGAGGGTCATTGGCTTTGATAGTGTTGACGACGAAAGCAAAGTCGAGCGCCGTGTGTACAAGAAATTCCCGTTCCCGAGCGAGTGGTCTACGAAGCAGAACCCGCCGTACAGCTACTGGATGTACTATCTGTTTGCCAACATGTCGTCACTTAACGTCTGGAGAAAACAGCGCGGCTTCAACACGTTCCTCCTCCGTCCACACTGTGGCGAGGCTGGTGATACCGACCATTTGGCTGCAGCAGTTCTTTGCTGCCACAGCATCAGCCACGGTCTGCTGCTTCGAAAGGTGCCTCTTCTTCAATACATTTTCTACCTTGAGCAGATTGGTGTTGCCATGTCGCCTCTCAGCAACAACGCACTCTTCCTGGCGTATGAGCGAAACCCGTTCATGAGCTACTTCAGACGAGGTCTGAACGTCTCGTTGTCAACGGATGACCCTCTCCAGTTTGCTTTTACCAAGGAGCCTCTGATCGAAGAGTACTCAGTTGCGGCGCAGATTTACAAGCTGAGTGCTGTGGATATGTGTGAGTTGGCCAAACATTCAGTCGAGCAGAGTGGTTTCGAGCATGTAGTCAAGCAAAAGTGGTTGGGTAGCAACTATCATCTCCCCGGTGTTGCGGGTAACGACATGGCAAGATCCAATGTGCCCAGCATCCGCGAAGCATTCCGACATGAGACTCTCATGGGAGAGCTAGCCATGTAAGTTTCATGCATGAAACTTTTCTCAGATATTCATACTAACACCAGCCAGGATTGATCGCTACACGCGTGCAGCCCAGGCCGGCAGCCACGACCTAACCAGCTCCAACCTGCAATCCGAGGTACCCCAAACGCCCAAATCGCTCCAAGGAGTCCCGTTCCCCGGGTCACCAACGCACGCCTCAGCTGCGGGTAGCAAACAACTCTTCTCTATGCTCCCTCCAGCCCAAGTAGCCCGCCTCAAGCCTTCAGCATCCACCGTTGACGCAACCAACTCGCAAAATCAACCCGCATCACCAACCAGCGCCCACGACGGCAGTAATGCCGAACGTCCGAACCGCAGCGCCAACATGACGGTCAACCCAAACGCCGTGCCTGCAGTCCAGCAGCCGGTAGACGGCCAGAACTCATCTGCCAGTCTAGATGAGCCAGACACGGGACTAAGACGTTCAACTAGTTCGGTCACATTGGACGGGGAACCAAAACTGTTCCCTGGTGTTGTGAGCAGTAGGAGTCGTAGGCGCAGCACGAAGAATAGCCAGGCTGAGGATGGGGAGGGGGCGAGTTCGCGATTGAGGAGGTATCCGACGGGTGAGACGGAGAGTGTCGTTGAGGAGAAGGATACAGATGATGAGGAGTGAAAAAGGAAGGAATTCATGATGTTGGCTTTGTATGACAAGTATCAATACTAGACATAAATTTATTTGTTTCGGGTTGGTTATTTTGTATACTCGTTACTATGTACTTCATATCTATACCGACGACTGCTTTATGATCCAGTCTGGGTCTTTATATATATATATGAAGATCCTCTCGTACCTCCCATGTACATGGCTATATATCCAAAAAAATGTAGGAAAATCGTTTTTTAATTATCGCATGCATCCGTACGTTGATGGGTTGAAAGCAAAAGAAAAAAAACGCCAAAGAAAAAGATGCAAACGCTCGCTGTACGGACGGAAACACAAACAAACAAAAAATTTCAAAGTAAAAGAATGCGAAAAGCGAGCGCCCCCCCCTTCCCCCCCAAAAAAGGGATCAGATGAGCAAAAAAATGAATGGAAAGAAATGGAGGCTAAAAAGAAGAAAACAAAAAAGTTCAAATTCGCGAAATTTTCCAAAAAAAATAAAAATCCCATGCTTCAAGAATTGATGGTCCTTGAGTAGCAATCCAAACACCAGGCATCCCCCTCTTCCCCAACCTCCACTATACACTTTTTACAAATGGCCTTTGCACAGCCCACACACTGCCTTGCGCAGATAAAGCACGTCCGTCCCTCACACCTCCTGCAGTCGAGATAATTTTCCAGATCCTTCTTTCGTGTCGGCGCTTTTTGGCACGCATGGCACGAGCGCAGGTCGGAGACCGCATGGTGATGTGCCGGTGTCCCACAGGTAGTAGTAGTAGTAGTAGTAGTAGTAGTAGTAGTAGTAGTAGTAGTAGGAGATTGAACGTCGAGATCGATATCCATGAGGTGCGAGGTTGATTTTACGAGGGAGGCTTTTGGACTGAAGCGTTTGAGTTGTTTGACGGGGCGGCGGTCGGACGGGAAGTCGTGGGCTTTTGAGGGGAGGAAGGCATAGGAGAGGGTGTTGTTGTTGGAGTCGAATGGCGGGGTATTGGGGTGGTGGAGGCGGGTGGTGTCGCGGCTTAGGGAGGAGCGGTGGTGACGTGGGATGGTCTTTGGGGAGATGTCGGTGCCAGATGTGTGAAGTGAGGTACACGGGCGTTCGTATAGTTGTGGTTTGTCGTCGCCTGCTTGTCGCTTTCTCTTGCCAAGACCGGCGGCGGGCTGGTCGGGGGCCATGGTATGCCAATTGTGAGATGTATTGTCTTGTTGCCAATCACGTGCGGTGCTGGGGCCGAAGAGGTCGGAGGTAATGTATACCATGATGGCGATTGTGGCGGTTGTTGTTGTGGTGGTGGTGGTTGTGAGGTGAAGGAGTACTGGTGGTCTTGAAGGCGAAAAGAGGTGGAACGTGCGATGATGCGACCAAGGGACACTGGTACCAGTACAGCACTACACGTGTCGGGCAAGGCAGCGGCTGCAGACAGGGTGTGAAATGTGGGTCGCAAGGAGGAAGAGAGCAACTGATGGTTGGGCCCAACGTTGTTGAATACGAAGTCGACGACGGCAACAGCGACGAGAGAGGACGGACGGGCTGTTGTCGGGCCTAGAAACAAGGCACATGCTCGGCGTACCTGACTAGCGGCCGAATCAGGCATCCGACAGGGGACCGGCTGACTTGACCCCCACGACGCGCTTCACGTGCTGCCAAGTCTCTCCCTTCACGCTCCTCTCGACACGCGACGGGCGACGGCAACGAGAACAGCGACGACAGCAGTACTTGCGCACAACCAGCGCCTGTACATATCCCCGGCCCTGGCACTCTTGCGTCTGTGTCATGTTCGCCGCTTGCGCGTGATTGGCATGACATCGCCATCCGCAGCACTACTACCACCCACATACCCCACACTGTGATACCCCCTGCACGCTGAAAGCTGGAGAAAATGGACAGCGTCAATGTCTCTGAATTGGTCGCCCGCCTCGGCGCGGAGGAGGAGTCGGTGCGCAAAATGGCCGTCTTCAAACTCCAGAATGCCATCGGCGACCCTTCATTCGCTGATGTCTTCATCTACGAAGGGGGCCTGCCCAAGCTGCGCTTCCTGGCCCTGCACTCGACTGGAAACACACTGGCCTATTGTCTCACCTCTCTGGCCCGTCTGCTCGAGCTAGACAAAGGATGGGACCATGTCACGGATGATTTAATTGCAAGAGTAAGTCAAGAGAGGAGAGAGACTGTTGTGCGTGAGTACATCTAACCAGTGCATAATAGATAGTCGACCTCGTCGTCGCACAACCGCTTGTTAACGTCAACCGAGGTGCCATGTCAGTCCTCGCCGTAATCGTTGGTCATCCCTCACACCGAAGCTCGCACACAGGCACCACAGGCTTCCAGCGCCTCAAGCCAGCCGTCGATGCCCAGCCCCAGTTCTTGTCATCCTTGGTTGAGAAAATCACATCGGCCGACCATGCGCTCTGTGCAAATTCCCTCCAGCTAATCAATGCGTTGATGCGCGATGCCATTGCAAACGATGCCGCGTTCGAATGGCCCAAGTTTATAAAGCAGCTCCAGGAGCTGGGCGTGATCAAGAGCGTGTATGGGCTCATGCAAAGCACCGCAATACAAGACCTGGCTCACCCATTGTTGGACTTTCAGACACTGACTAAGACGTTGCTGAGGAATTGGAGGGAAGAAAAGGTGGACCTGGAAAATCCCGACCATCGAAGGGCTATTAGGGGCCTACACACTGCGAGTCAACCAGACAGGTCATCGTCTGATCCAAAAGGAAGCAAGAAGCATCATCCGGAAAAATGGAGCCGGCTGGGTTTCGAGACAGAGTCACCGGCGTGGGAGTTCAACGGGACTGGATTCTTGGGGCTTATGGACATTACTGACTTTGTTTATAAAAACGAAGATGGCTTTCAGAAACTTTTACTGGAGCAGTCAGCCGAGCCAGCCGAGCAACGGTGTCCGATTGCGCGGGCAAGTCTTTCGGTCACGCAAACACTATATGAGCATTTTGAAGTGGATAAATTGGATGACGTTGAGGCTCTTCGCCATACCGACTCGCGGGCCAACTTTGACCGAGCATTCAAGCCGCTGTTGTTGCATTGGTCTAGGTTACACACGAGTGGTCTAAATGCCTTCATCCGACTGTGGAAAGCAGCAGGAGCGCAGATTGAAGACTTTGAAAAGATTGAGGAACTGATTCGCATCTTGATTGAGCAGGTGGTTGGGCAGGCACCACGAATGAAAGATGTCAAGGAGATTGAAGAGGAGCTAGCAGAGTTTGAGCTCAAGCGGCTGCGAGAATTGCAGATGGAGGTGCTGGAACTGACGTATGAAGATGCATGGGGCCATCACCTGCGGTATGCAGTTTGCCTATTGTATGCCGTGCCAAGCTAACACTCGACAGCCAAGTTCGCGACGAGCTCAATCACGAGGCGCTGCAGTTTGTCAAGGAGCAACGTATAAGATGCTTGCTTCAAGGTGCATGGTTCCCAATGGGAGCAGACTTTGGTACAAACACCGGCCCAGTAGCTGGCAACCGTGCAGTGCCTTCGTCGTGGCGCTTTGTTCGACTGTCACACAACCGGCGATACCTGCACTACGCTGACTTTAACGAAAAGACGGCGGCCGAGCCGAAATTAGATGCCCTGCAGGAAAAGAGTAAGTACTACGCGCTCCACTAGGTGCATCCCAGTGGCCGGTTTGCATTTTCGTCGTAGCTGACACAGAAATCAACAGTTGATTTGTCCATTGTCTCATCAGTAGTGAGCAATGTCTCGGCCTCGGCCCCATCGACAGCATCGTCTGACAGTACGGTGAGGACGCTGCCAGGGCATGAGCGGGCGTCGACATCGACCAAAATCACGATCCACGGGTACATGGCTCTATCCAATCATGCGCGGCAGACGTCGAGTGGGTCGGGTGCAGGACGCAAAGAAAGCGTACTGTTGCATCTGCACCCTCAAAGCCACACGCTTGCTTCCGAGTGGCTTGATGGGCTGCTGATGCTTCTCAACCAACAGCCGATTACGGCGAATACCAACAAGCTTGTAACATTTATCGGCGGTTACGGGCTCAAGATTCGGCTGCTAAACGTGCGGTACGAGGATGTAGGGCTGGACGAACCAGTGCTGCCAAGCCGCGAAGGGCTGGATGACGAGTATTACTGTAAGTGTTTTTGGTGCGGGTGTAGTTGAGGCAGGTGGACCTTGTGCTGACGCATCACGTGTAGATGATATTGCAGGAGCTTGACGAGGAGAGCGACGGGCAGTTGCCTGCAGACGAGGGGGGGGGGCGGTTTTTTTTGACAAGCAAACAAGATGGGATGTGCACGGTGGAGGTGGGTATGTATGTGGTAAGGAGTGGTTGGGGCCGGAACAGGGCGGGGTGCAGGCTGTTGGGTAGGCTAAGGACAAGTGTGCAAAGTCCACTTTATAGTGCTTGGGGGGTGGCATGGCGGGGTATGTGCCGAAGGAGGTGATTGCTTGGGGAGCTGAGGATGTTCAGACTGGCGGTTGGAGACTGGCGGTTGGAGACTGGCGGTTGGCCGATGACGCTTCTCTTGAGATACCCTTTCCTTTGTTGGATATTTGTTAGTAGTGCCGTACTTTCTCTACTGCTTGTTTTTTGCTTGTTTGACTTACTTACATTGATAGCTAAATATTGCATGGCACGGCACAAGGCGAGCATCAGCAACGGGGTTAGTGCAGGCAATGAATCAGGCGGCGGCCAGACGAGTGAGTGGGTTGTGCTGCTTTGTTTTGGGCCATGTTGCACATGCACAGCGCATGGCCGGGACGTTGCACGGGACGTGCTTGAGCGCAGTTGTGCTCTCACTCTGGGGCGGTCAGCAGGCAATATTCCAGAAGCAAATACGCGTGCTCTCGACGTCCATCACACGGGAGCCATGGACAAGAGCTAGCTGGTGCGCGATCCCATGGACCGGGTATAGGAGCGGCCATGCGGTGTGTCGCACGCTAGGAGCGCCGCAAGACCCGCTGGCGGTCGGAGGGTGGAGACGGCGGCTCTGAAACAGCGAAGGCCAATGGTGGAGAGCAGAGAGTTGCAGACGCTCATGGCTGTGGATTGACTCTCGGAGGAACCACTGCCACTACGGCTCTACCAAGGTCCGTCCGTGTCTGTGGGTTTGGTGGACAGGACAGGACAGGACAGGAGGCTGCTGCACCGCTGCACCGCTGCACCGCTGCCTTAGCTGCACATGTGGCATCCCGTCACCCAATATGCTCCCGTCCACCCGGTGCATCTGTCGTAACCACGCTGCCTCACTAGACCTCTGTCTGCTGCTCTGGCCTGCTCAGCCTCCAGCTGCTACCCTCTTGCACTCCATATAGTTCCTTTCTTTTTCTTCAACATCACCAGCCTGGCCCTTGTTTCCACCTCGGATAGCCCTGCCGGCCCGCCATTGAATGCCCACCATACGTGCATACATACATACATACATACATACATACACACAGACGGGCAATACTTACATAGTACTTTTGCACACCACCCTTCACAGTCGGCACATTTGCCTCCCCGTGCCCAGGGCGGCCTCGGAGCATCCCTTCGTCCTGCCATCCACAAACACCACAACCCCCTGGTTGAGTGCCTCTTGTCACTGGCTTCAAACCGACGACAACGCCATCACCCATTTCGACGATTCGAGCCGACGCCATGAGGAGCAAACCCAGAAGCACTACTCTTCCTCTCCCACAGGCGGAGTTCGAGGCGCTGCCCGATTCGGTCCAGTAAGTGCAACTAACCGCTTGTCATTGGCCCGCCAGTGTGATAGGGGCGCATATATCACGTGCAGATACCGATATCCACCCCCCACCATCAATGGCTGTACCTTGCAGTAGCATGAGGGACACCCATGAGAATGTCGTCGCTAATTAGTCCCCTTCCAGGAGAAAGTACTTTTCGTCCCTGGAGCGTCTGCAGATCCAACGGCAGGCCTTGGACGAGCCTACATCAGGCCGCTCTTCCCAAGCCAGTTCCTCCAGACTCCACCGGCCCACGTTATCACTAGGTGCCGTACGCCGCAGACGCAGACTCGAAAAGCCTGTGCTCGAACACGACATCTCGCTCGCTGACGTTGAGTTTTTCTTCTCTCTACCCGAAAAAGTCCGCAAACAGCTGTTTTCGCGCGACGAACAGTTGCTTCTTCAAGGCTGGCGTGAACATTCCTTCACTGCCGACGACACAGACTACGAGTGGGCACAACAACGCTTCGACGACTTCCACTTTGACTTTTCACAGCCGTCCGGTCAATACACTGCCGAGCGCGGACGTCCCTTAAGACCACGTTCAGTAT